GTTCTTAGTTAAATGAGTTACAACAACACCTAATTTCCCTCTGGGATCAATAAAGTATTTTTGAATTGAATTGATTAATCATGATTCGATTAAATGAAAAATGTTTATTGATATTGTATTTTGCAACTGTGTTGCAATATATTTTTTTTTCTCTTCAACATAAACAACAGGTTTTAGGGACAAACTTTTAAATTAAACTGATTAACCTTGAAAGAAAACTGTCACAAGTTTAAAAGGTATTAAAGTAAAAAGGAATTGCATGTGACAGTGTTGTTGGAGGAATTCATTTTTAAATAATTAATAATTATTTTGATAAATAAGAAGTGATGGAATAAGGTTGCAGGAGAAGATGTGGGCTAATATAAAACTTCTGCCCACTCCTTTTGAGTGTATGAAACTTGTATATTTGTAATGTTTCTGTTAGCTTCTGTTATATTCAATAAAAATTATTAAAACTTACTTATACCAATACAACTACAACATTTTATCACTGTGGATTTCATTAAGACTTTTATTAAAGTTTAAAGCACATTTCTACATGCTGTGGTGAACAGTTTCAGTCAGATGTTTACATACAGTAGTTTGGTTCGAGCGTCTGAACGAAGCTTGCTTCATTTTTGTTACCATGTAGGAGCGCAAATCTTTACAAACAAAATCACCATGGTCTGTTGTCTTTAAGTTCTGCTGAGAATTGGCTGGTAATGTTAGTGATTCCTTAGTTTCTTTTGTTTTGCTTCAGACAACTTGTTATCAAAGCAATATTAGCACTGAACATCAACCAGATAGTATATGGCAAGCTAGGAGAGACAAACTATAGAAACGCGTCTCAGACGCACATACAAGACTCCATGGGGAAGACTCGATCTCATGTCCTGTGAATCGATTTTCCCAAATTTAAATTAAATCAATCCGAGATCGATTTTTTTTTTTTAACACCCAGCCCTACTAAATGTATTTATACATGAACTAGCCTGGCATGTTTTTTATTTGCAATTTGTTACTAAAACCAGTTTCTTTACATGTTTGACCATCCTGACCTTCTTACTGTGATCAGTCTGGAGAAATTCTGAAGAAGGCCAAGGAGCACACCAAGCAGATCAATGACATCCAGACATCAGTAGATCTCACCATGTTCATCAGCGCCTCCAAGGATAACACCGCCAAAGTAAGAGACCACCAAAACACAATGTTTACAATCCTTCAGACTGGGTCACGTCTTCCTCGTGTCCTTTCCAGTTATTAGACTCCACCTCTTTGGAACACATCAAGACATTTAGGACTGAGAGACCCGTCAACTCAGCTGCCATCTCTCCCATCATGGATCATGTAAGAGCTCACACACACACACACACACACACTTTGAGCATGCAGTCATGAGACTGAGTCACTGACCGTAAACACTTCCCTCAGGTGGTGATGGGAGGCGGACAGGAAGCCATGGAGGTCACTACAACATCAACCAGGATTGGCAAGTTTGAGGCCAGGTGAGTGTGAGCTGAGAGGATAAAGAACTTCAGATCATGTGGGGTTGAATTTTTTTATGTTAACTGAGTTCTTTGTTGCTTCTAGGTTCTTCCATGCTGCCTATGAGGAGGAGTTTGGCAGGGTCAAAGGTCACTTTGGCCCCATCAACTGTGTGGCTTTCCATCCAGATGGCAAGAGGTACAATGTAGCTGGAGTTTCTGCCATTTTTAAACCGTTTTCTGTAAAACTGTTTTAAACCTGACCCATAAATTTTATAGATTTGAACACTAACAAACCTTTTTGAGGTTGCCAGCTTTGTGTTGTATGAGTCGAGCATGAATGGCACCAGTTAGCTTGTAGCACTCCCAGGACACTTCCAATCAGGATGCTTCTGCTGAACTCATTTTGTGATGTGAAACTGACTGAGATGTAAAGGTTTACATAATTATTGCATTAAATAGACGTTTTTAGCTCCTCTGTATGGTCCAAATAGACGCACCTTGAAAGTAAACCAACTTTAAATTTCAGTTAACCTTTGAGCACAAGTACAATCTGCTAGTGATGTAATGAGGCAAAGCAGGCCCATGCTTTTGGAGAATTTGTCCATCCGCTCAAGTGCCCAGCATTCAATCCTTTAAATAAAAGTTAAAGTGACGGACCATCAATTTTTTTGTAATAAAAATGAACGTCTTTTTGGAGGGATAACACTGATAACATATTGTAAAATTTCATGCTGCTGTTATGAACAGTTGTTGAGATGTTTGCATGTGAAGTAACAGGAAGTGATGTCAAAGGGGAATGTCTGCATGTGAACAGAGCGTTGCTAAAATGGCTAACACAGACTGCAGAGAAGAATCTGTTTCTTTAGATTATTTTAATCATCAGAGAGATGAGTCATAGTTCAAATAATGTTTAAACAAAAACTAGTTTTATTTCTTGAAGAGGTCTCCTTTGTCACTTCCTGTTTCACTTTGGCTGAGCCAAGTTCAGAAGAAAATATGCCAATTATGTGACATAATGGGTAAAATCACATGTATTATGCCAAGTTTCGTAAATATATATTTTCTTTGACTTTTTGTATTTCATGGCTATCCATATTACAGGCACTTTAGGTTTAATTAAAACACAGGGGAGTCACAGGACATCCTAGCAAATAATGGGTGAGGGGTTCTATCTTTTGTCTTCAAAAGGTGCCATGCTGGATCAAGGACATGTTTTTCCAGGGACAGACCACCCCTCACCCATTAGTTGCTGAAGTGTTCAGATTTGTCATTTTCTCTTTTCTTTCTTAAATAAAGGGTGTCCTGACACTGTTGACTCATCCTGTAATAAACCAATTGGTCCTTTCGCAGCAAAACAATACAAAAAATTAGGCAAGTAATAAATACACTGAATGCAAAATGGTTCATCAACAAAACGTCTAATTGCCATGTTAAACTAAAATACGAAACTACAGAAGATAATTAAGAGCCAACTTTTCATCACTACTTCCTGCTGTATGCTCCCAGAAGTGCTACAGCTTGCTGCTGCCGTTTGCAGTATCTGATTGTCTTCAGGCTAGCCATTAGCTCATCCTGTCAAACTCCAAGTCTTTCTCCACCTGGTTAAGATCACAACTTTTACATAAAAACCCACTTCAGAGAAGACTAACATTTCCCCTCCTCTGTCCACAGCTACAGCAGTGGAGGAGAAGACGGATACGTCAGAATTCATTACTTCGACCCGCATTACTTTGACTTTGAGTTGGAGGCATAAACATCAGTCGACTCCTGTAACAGTTGTTTGCTCTGTGAACTTCAGGTTTTAAAATAAAGTGGTCATGAAAGTAATCATCTGTGTTTTTGTAAGTTTCAACTTTTATTTCCTGGTTGACTGAGGAAACATTATTTTGTACCTGGAAGTTGTAAAAAAAAACATTTTAAACCTTTTGAATTCTGGAATGCATTTAGATAAACTACCGTAATTATCTTCAATGTGGGAGCAGAAATGAAAAAAAAAAAACCTCAAGTGGATCTCTTTTTTGTTTTTATTAACAAAGATATGATATTGGACATTTCACAAGGATAGGATTGCAAACAGCCACATTGGTTTACCCCACTTATCAATGGTACAAAATATCTAAAACATGTCATTTACTCACCAGCTCTGAGAGGTCCACACACACTCATACATGAACATAAAAACATGGCGCCGATGTTTAAAAGATGGGCTAAAGGAACCGACTATTCATGATTTAAAAATAACTTAAAAGTACAGTTTGGGGGGCTGTCGGGGAAAAGACTTGAACATATGTACATGCTGAAGGCTGGATGATTCTAAGCATGCATTTACTGATGAACAGGAAGGCAGAACTACTCGCCTAAGGCAGGTTTTTGTATCAAAGAAAAAATAAAAGGGAACTTTTTTTTTTTTGCATCTGACCAACTTCAGCCCCACAGACAGGTTTAAATCTGAAACGCCAGCATGAGGACAGTAACAATCTGAATTTTCTTTTTTACAACATGCCTGATTCACACAATGACTCAGGGTTTAAGTGCCAAGTGGGTGGGAGAGGAACAACTGGGGGGCTCTTACTGTGCTAAACCAGTGCTCAGATACTGCTGCAGTTGTGTAAGCCCCCATTCACCTGGTACTTGAGTTGTGAACATGGTGTGAATTAGGTTTGCTCATAGTAAAAGGTAAAAAAATGAAGACTAAAGGTCCTCTTGTTGCAGGAGAACAGGAATCTTGGGGGGGTAAAGAACAGCACAACTTCAAGTGGTCTTCATTTCTTCTTTTGGTCTAAAAAAAAAGGGGTTAAGCATTAGACATCTGTCATTTTTATTTCATGGTAACTAAAAGTACTACATAATATCTGGACAAAGTGAAGCGATTAGGGTTAAAAAACAAAGAAATGCATTATTTTTTTTTTATTAATTTGGGACTAAAAATGAATTTATGAGTTTCAAGAAAGTGGCTGAGTTTATAGGAGAATCAAAAACTTTTGTGACAAAAAATTGTAACATTTATCAGGAAAGGTTATGTTTATCGACAACAAACAAATAAATGGGTGGCTTCATTTTTCCCATTTAGGGATAAACTGCTGCTTCATAAATAATTTAAATCTTCAGGATTCATTTAACCATAAAGTCATGAGATTTTTATTTTTGGTTCGAGGGATAGTTTTTAACTCCTGACATTTTAGTTAAGCTCAAGTTAAACCCCTAATGCTAACACATTATACCAGGTTCACAAGGCAAGATGGTTTTGACCTTGTGACAAACTTAAGGATGCTTCGATTATTGTGGTGCCTCTAAAGATAATCTCGTGATATTCCTGCTCAAAACGTAGCTTGAAGAGCTTTTATTTATTTTAACTACATCCTCTTTTGCTTATTTGATTTAAACATATTTGCCTTCCATGGACCTCCATCACACAATTTTTTCTAGCGGGGAAATGATATCAATAGAAATATGTGGAGTTGGAGTTTAATTTGTACAATAAGACAAAACAGTCTTGTTTTCAAGAGTTTTCCTTGAAGAGTTTACCTTAAAGAAATTAGTTTAAAAAACTGATGTTACAATAGAAAGAGTTAGATTGTTGAGTTTATGTATTGAGAAATATGTTAAATAAAAAATATATTATTATAAAAAAAACACACAAAGTACCAAAAATTGGTACCATTATGTACCGGTACCGAATTTTGGTACCGAATCAATTCAAATGTCAAAAGGTACCCATCCTTAGAACCAGGCAAGAGAGAGAGGGTTCAATTTAGATGTTTAGGTTTTTGAGCAGTAGCTTCAGCACCCTCAAATTTTTTCTGACATTTTCAAAATAAAATTTTTTTTTTCAAATATTCAAACAATGTGTACAAAGATGTTCTTGTAAACTGTAACTCATCCTCAGTTTAATGGGTTCTTACCCTGATGTATCCATTTTCTCTTCCTCTTTGTCTTCTTCTTTCACTTCTGGAAAGCAAACAGAAGTGGTGATTATACCAGAGAATCTTTACATATTTGGTTTTATGTGACTGCAGTGAACCCACCTTTCTTTTCCTCTCCTTCTTTCTCTTCTTCCTTCTTCAATCTTTTCGTCTTTTTGTGGTTCGAAGCATTCCTGCGGCCCCCACCCTGCCCCTCGGCTTCATCCTCCGAGTCTGAAAATTCCTCCTCGCAGGCTATCCTCTTATCATGGGCGCGGACTGAAACACAAAATTTATTACTATCTACATCAAGATCCCCGGCACTTTAATTCTGCAACAAAACAAAAAAAATAATCTTACTAGAGACGCGCTTGTCAGGGTCTTCCTCATCTTCATCTCCGCTGTCCGGGTGAGGGGCGTCCTCTGGGATGGCCTGCATCTGGACGCCGGGAGCATGAGGCAGCATGCGGAGGTTTTCAAAGAGCCGCTGTTTGATCTTCTCCAGGTACTCGTTGGTGTTCTGGTTGGTCATGTTGGAGGGGCTGATGTGCAGCTTGAAATCGGGTCCGAAGTACTCGAAGTAATCGTTGTAGGGCAGCTCGTTGGGGATGGAGCAGTCCAAGGCCACGGCCGTTTCGAAGGTCCAGCAGCGCGCCACGTTGCGGATGGTGTACCCTCCTCCGCCCAGCATCAGCAGAGGAAGGTTGAAGCTTTTTATGTACTCGACACACTTCGCGTGACCTTTTAAATACAAAACCCACAAGTTCAGTTTATGCTCCTACTAAAGCAGTCGTTTACTTTCAACTGTTCGGACACCTTTAATAGTGAGGTTGAAGCAGCCCAGCCTGTCTCCAGAAAGAGAATCCGCTCCACACTGCAGAACCACAGCGCTCGGCTGGTACATTTCCATCACTTTGGCCATGATCTGAAACAAACAGTCAGAAAACAGGCCTGAATACAATAAGATCTGTGAGGGGTTGGCACGCGAAAAAGAAAACTTACGGGCTTGAAAATGGCTTCGTACGACTCATCATCGATGCCATCTCTAAGAGGGTAGTTCACAGCGTAGTACTTCCCCTTTCCTGCTCCGATGTCCTGCACATACAAGTCATATTATTAGTTTAACAACCTCAATGTTTTATATAACAATTATTTTACAGCAAGGAAAAAATATTAAAGTACCTGTGACATATATTTTAAGAAGTCAAAGAAAACAACTTCAAATTTAAGGAACTTGGCATAAAACACGTCTTCATCTTTGTCACATAACTGGCTTATTTTCTTATGAATCTGGCTCAGCTAAAGTGAAACAGGAAGTGACATCAAAGGGGAACTCTTTACAAAAAGGAACTTCATGGTCTTTGTTTATTAAAACGATATTATTTGAACTCTACATCTTCATCTTTCTCTGATAGTGACTCAAAAGAATCTAATAAAACATTCTTCTCTGCAGTCTGTTGTCGGCCGTCGTAGTAACGCTGTTTACATTCAGACATTCCCATTTGACATCACTTCCTGTTACTTCACACGCAAACACCTCAACAACTGTTCATCTCAGTGTCCTAAAACTTCTTTCGCAATACTTTACTAATGTTTTCTTTCTAAAAATGCATTCATAATTACCACAAAAATTTGATGCCACATACACTTTAAAGAGGAACACTAACCCTCAGGTCTCCAGTGCCAGGAAAGTACTCTCCATATTTGTGGAAAGAGACGGTCATGACTCTGTCTGTGGTGTAAAAGGCCTCCTCTACTCCATCACCATGGTGGATGTCGATATCTATGTACAACACCCTCTGGTGGTATCTGAGAAAACGATACAGTTAATGAGAACACAAAATGTAAGTCCTACAAGCTGATATGGATGAAACCTAAAAGGCTCAGGCTTATTAAACCCAGGCAACAGCAGAGCGCGGCTTACTTGAGGAGCTCCAGGATGGCGAGGACGATGTCGTTGACGTAGCAGAAACCAGACGCCTCAGACTTCTTGGCGTGGTGGAGCCCACCGGCCCAGTTGATGGCGATGTCTGTCTGCTGCTTGTTCAGCTTCACTGCTCCGGCTTAAGATGAAAAAAAAAGAGTTTGTGTTCGCTCTTTGACCTGAAAGCTGCTTGTTTACAACATTTATAGATGAAATAGTTCAGGCGTGTCGTTTGTGCGCCTTTCACAATAAGATTACCATCACTGATCACATCACTGTGTCACAACTGCATGACTTTCAAAGAACAAGGAATTCTAACAAGTTTTAGTTTTCCCTTTTGCAATGCTTTTTCAAACAAAAATACTCATACAAACAGTCTCACCACTGACGGTTAAATAATCAGTCTAAAACTCAATGTGAGGTAGAAACAACATACCTACAGAACCACCGGTTGACAGCTGACAAAACTCAAATAGTCCATCAAACACTGGACAGTCCTCCCCAACATTAACTGCAGTAAAACATAAACAGCATTAATGTGACAGAAGATCAAGGGTGCCAGAATAAACTGTTAGAGCAAACAGGACGCACATCTCTGCATCTGTTTGCTGTACTCAGACATGTTGTCTGGGCGGATGGACCTCAGGAACTTGATGTAGTCGTCACTGTGGTACTTTGTCATCTCCTCAGCACTGGCTTTGTGTGGTCTCTGAAATGAAAGAAAAAAAAAAAACACATTTAAAGAGACGAAACTTCACCCAAGATAGCAAAAAAACCTTGATGTTTTTAATTTCTAAGACTGACCAACTTGTCTCCAATAATATTATACTATATTATCAAAAGGAAGAAACAATTAAGAGTGCAACAGACTAATTCAATCATCTCATTGTACAGTGAAAGAATCAATTTAGGTTTAGTGGATAGATGTTGTTAAAAAGAAATGTGAAATACAAACGCAGTTCTCACCAATGTTCAGTTTTCTGCTGACTGCATACAAATAAACTAAATTCAATCAAATTGTATTCATGTTTAATGCATGATAGGCTTTTTATAACATTTTGTTCAAATTAAAATCTTTTGGAGAAAAAATAGTAATATCTCGCTTGCTTACAGTATCACAATACAACATATTGTGACCCATGTCATGGTATGTGTATCATCACACCATGTGTATCACATATTCCCACTTAAATCTGCATTCCTAGACACAAATTCTCCAATTTTTTGACATCAAAATAACTAAATTTACTATAATTCAAACCTAATAAGCAGGTCTGTTATCTGTTGGCTTGTGTAAAATATTTAGATGCAAGTAATCTTTTTTCCTTGACTACATTTCCTACATTTGTGAGGATAAACTACTGCAAGAGTTTTTTTTTATTTTTAAGTGGTCTTTTGGTTTTATTTTAACTTTTGAAAAACTATTCCATGTAGAGTTTATTTTCCTAAGACAAGATGGTTATTTACAATGTTGCATCTATCACTCCAACGTACAAAATCTACTAGATTTAAAATGATCAATTCATTTAAGCTTTTGTGCATAAGCTGTGTTTATACTTATCAGTCAAAATATTAATGTAGTCACTACTAAGATAAACAGCCCAACAACAAAGTAATGATCTCCTTTATTATTTTTATTTTTTGGAAGTTGGCAATCCATAACAGATATGAACTAAAAAGTCTCAGTAGTGGTATTTTTGTTTGTTTTGGATAAACACTCTGCATGTTTGAGCAACTTTTAGACACTGAATATTAATTTTTAGAAACTGCAATATATAAAATGTAGAAACTTATGTTTTTCCTTACTTTGCTTTCTTTTAGGGGTGTCCCGATCCGATATCAATATCGGATATCGGTCCGATATCAGCCAAAAAACGCGTATCGGATTTTATCGGACTGCATGAAAAATGTCCGATATAAGCGCTCCGATATTAGCAGTCCGTTCCAGCAGTTCACTGACTCCGCTCCAGTGTTTCTATCCAGCAGCGCTTGGCTCCAGCATGCAGCGCTCACGTGATCATAACAGCAGCGCTAACAAGTTAGCAAGAATGTCGGCAGCAGAACTTTTTATTTTCATCAGAAACAGAGTTGCAGCTAAGTGTAAAGTTGTCATGCACAAGTTTTCCGAGGGGAAACACAGAACTGAACGTTTTAAACCGGAGCGACAACTACTCTCCACCCTGGCAGCAGCTTTGCGGTTCGGCTCGGTTCAGCCTCGGTCCAGTGACCGCACACAGCCGCGCTGTTTCGGAACCTCCTCTCTGGTCGGGTCGGTGATTCTAAGCGGGCAGAAGCGAGGACAGCACGCTTGTTTAGACATCCGTGGATTAGTTCTTGATGGACAGAAGAAAGGAGAGCGCAGCTTTTGTTTTGAAATTTAAGCGCGACATGACGAGAGCCGTGATAAAAACTGCTCCCTGCAGGAGAGAGAGGCTGATCTCCACATGATGCTCAGACTATAGAAAGTGGAAATTTAGCACTAAGAAAGGTAGCTATCAATTTAAATAACTAATTCTTACTATTTATTTTTTGCTCTTGTTATTAGAGTGATGTTTAATCTGTTTACACACTTGTTTGAGTGAAGATTAAGTGCAATGATCACGTTGTTTTAGTTACAGTCAGTATTGGAGCTGTGGACTCTTAACTTTGAACAGACAATAATGTGGGGTTTTGTTTTGTCCCCACCTTCAGTTTTTTCCACCATAAAGCAGCACAAGGCTGACAGATGGTAAAAAAAATAACTGGAGTGATTTTGAATTATTTTACACTGTAAAAGTACATTTTGTTTTTATTATGTTATTTTTTCAGGGTATTGTAATTTATTTTATTTATTAAATTGTATAATGTTCTTCAGTGTAAAATGTATGTGATCCATTGGTTTAAAATAAATGGGTCAGTTTTTCTCATACCTACTCTTTTTCACTGTTTGATCTGATCAAGATTTTTCTAAGATTTTACATTACAAAATAGGTAAAAGTGTGTGACTTGCACTGTTATAGTAACGGGTCAATATCGGTATCGGTCAATATCGGTATCGGACATTTCTCAAAGTTGTAATATTGGTATCATATCGGAAGTGAAAAAGTGGTATCGGGACATCCCTACTTTCTTTTGTTCCAAACTTAGAAAACAATAAAATCCAATTCTAGACTTTGAGACTAAGGATAATCGATGTTTATGTTAACCTTGGAAAACCTTTTAATTCCATGAACATAAGGAGCTTGATGAATAGCATGTGTCAATTTTCTATATTGACTGTGGCTATTGGCTTTGAATTAATGATGAAAAATATATAACTTATCACTACTATAGTACAGAACTAAGTCAGTAAATATCTGTGAAGTGAAAACAAAAGAGTCAAGCTGTCTGATGTAAATAAAAAAAGTTGCAAAAGTGAAACTAAAATATAAGGTGTGCGTGTTGTGATCTCACTCACATAGATTTCCATTTTTCTGTAAAGTCCATAGTTGAGGAGGAGGTTGTGCGTCATACGGATTCTGTGGGGTTTCATGGGATGGCCTTGGCCGTAGTAATAGTTTCCCACATCACCTGTACCACAAAACATAAAAACAATCCATAAAAGCTTAACATGGTAACAAAAGACACGATGTCCCACCAAACTCCATATAAAATGTGCCCAAATTACATGCACCACATGAAATAAGATAAATTACTCTCACAATAACCTTTATTACTGATATACGTCTCATACATACTGTTGAAACAGATTGTGAAAACAAATGCGATCCATCATTAAATCTGACATGAATTTGGCCCTGTACCTATAATTACCTATAATTACTAATGTTTGTCTGATCTTACTGTGACTGGACAATAAGAAGCAGGAAGTAAATATATGTTTAATCATGAGCCGGGTTTGCTCGTTTGTTTCAAAACAAAACTAAAAAAAGATTGAAAATTCCAATAAATGTTAGCTTACTGGGCTTCAATTTTGCATTTTAGCTTAAAATTCTTCGAATAAAATTAATTTTAATATTCAAGTAAACTGCAACTATTTCAGATAAAAGGCGAAAATATGTTGCGTTTAAATTATACTCGCGTGTAATTACATATGGTCTCTTCTTTTGCCACATTTACCGAATAACAAAAGTAGAGAGACCGGTGCATTCTCCATCACTTCACGGAAGTTATTAGCAAGTTCAGGGGAACACTGTGTGACCATCGCCGGCTAGCTTCATGGCTCCTTTTAGCTCCTACACTGATAGTAGCCACTATGTTCAGAGCGTGACCCATTAAAAGGCTGCATACGTTTTGAAGTAAATTATTTGCTACTGAGCGGCTTGAAAGGGTCGGAAGACCAAATACTCCGTGCACATTCGGGCTAACAGCTAACTTAACTATCCATGCAGCTAAAACAAGCTAGTCCACCAATCCAGCAAGCTAACATTAGCTCTTACACCGGCTTGTCTGCTTTGCCGTTTTGGTCACTTAAAAACGTAAAACACGAAGAAATCCCAAAACTTCTAAATGCCTCAGTGGTCCCTTCAGAGAAATAAGAGAAATAGAGGTGTCTGAAAAAATATTTACCGTCGTAGTAATAGCAAACTTTTTTCTTTGTTCCTTGAGACAGCGCCATTTTACACCAGTTACCCCCCAATGGATTCGTTGTTCATCGGTTTCTGGTGCGGCGGCGGTGGAGGTGGAGCTGAGCTCGTGTCAACCAATCACGGAAGCAGCACCGCCCGACTGAGCGGAGCCGGTGCCACAAACCGAGGAACCCCAAGGCCCCAACCTCATCTGTTCGTTTTGTTAGTGTACAAATTAACATAACTAGCCTTTTAATTGACATTTTAGATGCTCATAAGCAATTCTACGGAACAGTTTTAGGGCCCACAGGGCAAAGATATAAATATTTATTAATTTTTCCTGAGTTCAGACTTTTTTTTAATCTCAGATTTCTGATTTCAATCTCAGAATTCTGAGAAAAATGTCAACATTCTAAGATTAATGTCTAAATTCTGCCTTGCTTCTTGAATTCTGAGATTAAAGTCAGAATTTTGACGTTTTATAGACTCCGAATTCTGCCTTTTACCTGAGGTCTAGAACACTTATATTAAAGTCAGAATTCTGTGATTAATTCCAGAATTATGACTGAAGTCAGAATTCTGAGAATAAACTCAGAATTATACCCTTTTTAGAATTCTGAGATCAAAGAATTTTGCCTTTTTGTTTTAAGAATTTTGAGATTAAAGAGTTTTGCCTTTTATTTGTAGGATTCTGAGATTAAATTGTTCTGTATTTATCTAGAATGATAATCTTCACCAGCAATTCTACAATTCAGAGAATAAAATTAGATGTATGCCTCTTTTAATTTCCAGAATTTTGAGATTAAATAATCCTGCCTGTTTTCCCCAGAACTCTGAGATAACTATAAAGGTGCGGTTTATTATCATCAGAACTCTATCCTTTGTGAGAATAAACATCTCCAGCATATTACCAACAGGTGGCAGTGGAAGCCCGTGTGTGTTTTTGTCTGCAGACACTTTTTTTTCACTGCTGAAATGAAACATCTCAAGTGACTTGTCACCAAAGCTCCCATACATCAGGTTTTGTAGATGAAATAAGAGGCTGCGGAGATGAATTCACAGAGTCTGTCGGTTATTTACTGCTCACTGAATCCATGCTGCTGGGCCACGCTTCTGTCAGGGTTGGAATCGTACAGCAGAGGATTGTGAAAACGATGTAGAAAAAAAAAGACCAATGTGAAAGTAGGAAATGCCCTGAAATAACAGCAAGCTGTCCACTGGGAGCTGCATCTTCAATAATTCAGACGTGTGGATGAGGGCCGGATCCAACTTTGATCTCCACACATCACATCATGTGAACTGGGTCAGTCCAGTCTGCTGGGCTCAGAGCTTCATTTTCTGGATGCTGCTCGCCTCCAAAATGGAAACAACAGAGTGGAGGGGGGAGTGATCTCAGTGGAGCTAACACCATCAGAGTGGAAACAAAGCTCAAATCTGAGGCTCTTTTTTTTGTTTCACAGCAAATGAAGAGACCAAAAACAAACATATCATTGTTCCTGCTGAAAATTAGTAAGAAACTTTAGATTTTTCTCACCTGCCACTGACGGTGAAAAGGCTATTGTGATATTTCTCTGCTGCGTATGCAAACTATCTCAGGAACCACTGGATGAATTTTAATAGAACTCAGAGAGGAATGTCTTCAGCTGATTGACATTTGGAATCAAACTGATTCAAGATGGCTGCCACAGCAAAACTATCTTAGCAAACACAAAAATGGTTTTACAGATATTGAGCTAATATTTGGTGTATTGGTGGAGTCTGACCCCTAATTTATACTCCAAGCACAAATTAGCTTATTATTGTGCTAATAATTGGAGTTAACTATGTCTGTTAGCAAAATATTTCATGCCTATTTCAGAAGTACCTTCTGAAAGTAATCACTGGGTTGATGATTGTTATCTTCACCCATTCTCACTCCGGACTCGTCAACGTATTGACGCTTGGTCAGGTGGCCGTCTGTGTCCAGCTTCGGATGCGTCGGGTGGGTACTCACATCCGTTCTTAGCAAGATTAGGCAGAAGAGGAGGAGTGCTTTGTCATATTTTTTGAAAAGAGTAGGAAATACGTGACAACTAACCATTCCAGACCCTAAATTTAACTTATTTTAACCTATAAAGCCTATCCCTGGCCTCAGTACCTAAAATTAACCATTAACCCTAATCCCTCTTATTAACCACAGACCCCCAACTCCAAGACCCCTAAGTTGCGCAACCTGGAAAAGCCGTGGGCGGCAACGACTGAAAATGAGGGGGGTACCCGTCATTATGTTGACGAGTCGGAAGCGAGAACGTGTTGTTGGTTTTGTCAACTTAAGATGGTTCTTAGTTTTTAACAAATTAGAGTGTTTATTACCTGACAGCTTTGTTTGTTCATGATAAGCGCAAACCTTCACCCAAGTTAGTCCTGGAGTTCCTCAGGGTTTGGTGTTTGGAACACAACACTTTATTTATACAGACAGCATGCAAAATTGTTTACATCGAATAGCAGGCCAATATAGCAAATACTGGCATGGGTTCTGGGGTGTAAATAAATTTGTCTGGGGCTAATTTTAAGGTTTTGAGAGAAGATGATCTACGTTTGGTAAATTATGAAAAAAAACAAAGTTTTGTCTAAAAGTGCTCTTTAAAGAAACATTGTTTAAATGACATATTCGTTTGAATGCTATAGCATTCACACTATTAATATGGTCCGTTTTTCTTCCGTAGATTTTGGAAACTAACTTGTTCCACAATTTTTGTGCTTTTTCATTATGTTCAGCCAGGAGTGCTATGACTTTTGGTATTTCAGCTACTTTTCCAGCAATTTAGCTTTTTCAGCCTTTCCATCCAATAAAAAGATGTGTTCAGCATCCATAAAACCTTTCAAAATGTTTATAAAATTACAGTTCAATCATTTTATTCCAATGTCTTTTTTTTTTTCAAATTATAGCTTTTTTCTGCTATTTTTCTAATCCTTTCAGATAGTTCTGTTATTTTCATTGTTTTTTAAATATGTTTTTAGGCTTCATTCAGCTGTTTTCTGCTAATCTAAGCATTTATTTGTGATAATTTCAGCTTCTTACTGCTTAATTCAGTTAACGCTTTTGGTCTTTCTGCTAATTTCTGCCTTTTCAGCTATTTTTCTGCTAATTTTGACTGCTTTAGCTATTTTACAATTTCTTTCTGCCAGTTTGAAATTTTTAACTTCGTTCATCATCGGTCTTCTGAATTTCAACTTGTTACCCCCACATCAGGAAAAACACCAGCTATTCAAGTTTAACTCACATTAACAATTTTGCTATGAAACAATTTCAGCTTCCAGGAAAAAAAAAAACTTTCAGGATTAACATTTCACTTTCGCAGGACAAAATCTCTAGTAAAAATTAGACATTCTATTGTAGTTCTACTAAACATGGGGTTTAATTATGATGTTAAACCTGTTTCAAACCCATAACGTTTGTCAATGCAAGTAAATATTATTTATGGTACAATCTGATAAAAGCTGCAACAGTGCCCTTTTATTTAAATGAATTGTCTGAGGGCAAATGTGATGCATGATGGATAGAATCATTAAGACGCATAAACAGGCAGGTAACCAACATTTATTTACTATTATCAACTTTACAATAAAACCAGTAACATCTGTCAACATTAGCAAAATAATGAACAGAAATCAATTCAGTGTATTTACAGAGACAAAGCAGATTCAGGCTCACACACGACAGATAAACAACTCTGCTTCATATCAAACCGCGACAGTGAACATAGCAAGCTTAAGTGTTCTTTTTATTCTTTTCATAGTAAGGTAAAAATCAAAATTGTCTATTTTTTTCTTTTCTTTTAACAAACGAGACATAGCTTCTCTGAATCTTTAAGATGGTTCTCTATAATACACCACAAAATACTTCAAATTTGGGTTAAAATATAGGAATGTAAAAAGTTGACAAGTCTCTTAATTTTGATTTTATGTTTGTTGTTTTTTGTTTGTTTGTTTTTTGTTTTCTATTAACAGTCATTTCAAGTGGTGGTGGTGTCCCAGTATCTCATCTAGCATCAGTCCTTCAGCAAGGAGGCATCTTCTGCTGCAGAATTGTTTGGGAAAAGATGCCTTTAGCTCCGTCCTCCCTCCCCCTCTTCACGTCCTTCACTCCGCTCCACTTCATGGTGTCAGTCGTTGGCGATCTAGCTGGTCAAATCCAATTTCCACTCAGCGACCAACCCGCTGCCTTAAACCTCAGTCCAGATGTTGAGCAGTAACCAGGGAAGTGATCTAGTGAATCTAGTCTGTCGTCTTGTTATCATGACGAAAAGTGGCACGTCAAAGGAGTCTTTCACATACATGTGTATATATTTACATATACATATATCCATATACATATGTATACATATACACATATATATAAATATATATATATACTCTTTAATTTTCTCTTTCTCTCTTGAAAAAACAGTTCACCACAGTTCCTTGTGAGCTGACCGTACAATCACTCTTTCTTTTCAGAGGGAGCGGAGGTTGCATTGCTCTCCTCTGTCGGTTTGGTGGCCTCAGGGGCTGGAGCAGCTGCCTCCTTGGCCTCCTCCTTGGGTGCCTCCTCCTTAGCGGCCCCCTCCTCCGCCTTGGGAGCCTCGGCTGCAGCCACAGCGGCAGCCTCCTCCTTCACCTCCTCCTTCTTCTCCTCCGCGGGAGTGGCGGCACCGTTCTCGGCCGGCTTCTCCTCAGAGGGGGCAGCGACCTCCTCCTCCTTTACGGCCTCGCTCTTCTTGCTCTTCTTCAGGTTGAGCTTGAAGTTGAAGGTCTTCTTCAGGGAGAACTTCTTCTTCTTCTTCTTGGGGGTCTCCTTCGCCGCTGCCTCACCTTGAGGCTTGGCAGCCTCCCCGTCGGCGGCAGGCGCCGGTTCGATGGCGTCGCCTCCCGCCCCGGCCTCGGGCTCCTTGGCTGCCTCGGCTGAGCCGTTGGTCGCGGCGGCATCTCCGTCAGGCTTTGTGGCGACATCACCGTTGGTTTTTACATGTCCATTCTCCTAAAAGTGGACAATGAATAAATACATTTTAGTCTAAGGGAATAAAATTCAAGAAAACAACCTCTCATATAAATAAATAAATAAATAAATAAATAAATAAATAAATAAATAAATAAATAAGAGTCATTTCTTAGAATATCTTCGCCCTCATTAATTAACCACCGTGCCAAGGCGACGCCTTGCAGCACTCTAACCTGCCGATAGGCGGGGGTGGCGCATCACAGACGGAGAGGGAACCAGACAGACACCGACTCAACAAAGACAAGCCTCTCGATGGAGGAATGAAAACACATCGACTGAATATTAATCATATTAGTTACAGAAGACAATAAATAAATAAATAAATAAATAAATAAATAAATAAATAAATAAATAAATAAATAAACAAGAAGACGAATTACATAATTATCCATCCCTTATTGCTCAAGAGACAAGTTAATTGATCTGAAAAATGTGTGTCTAATTAATATTCATAACATTGTAATAATAAAATGACACATCTTAGAGCAAACGTGAATCATATACTTAAGTATTTTGCAAAGACCCGGTGTTTTCTGTAGTATGGATGACAATAAGCACTGAGCCGTAGTAGACTGCCTACGTGCAGCGAACCCACCCCCCGCCCTCCATCTCTCCCCCTTCCTTCTCAAACAAACATGTTGAGGGGGGTGGGTTGCGTCAGTCGCTGATAAACAGAGTCCACCTGAATAATTGAGGCGAGCTTGTTAACATTGAAGTCAGGGTGGTAATTTGTTCGTTGTTTTGTTTTGTGTTTTTCGGGGGTCCGTGTGACTAAAACCATCAGCGCGAGACGGAGACAGAGCCCCGCATGACCTTCCCCCAAATCTGCTCGCAACTCCATCCCGATTCAGCGCGGAGAAAGCGGACCAAAGAGATGTGTGTGTGTGTGTGTGTGTGTGTGTGTGTGTGTGTGTGTGTGTGTGTGTGTGTGTGTGTGTGTGTGTGTGTG